ATGAGTATCGACTCTCCATCGCCCCCTCTACCAAGCACAGGTGCAATGCTACGTGCATACATGGTGTGACTTATTGCCCCTGAAACTCCTGGCATACATGACCGATGAGTGACTGTGAAAACAGAGTTAAAAAAAAAATACTACAGAGGGCGAGCTGATGTCTTGGCGTTCGAGGCACTCGCGTGACTGTCGAGCGATAAGCATTCTGCATCAGTGAGTGGAGAGATGCAGAGTCACAGCCGAGTGAGAGGCTCCTCTGTGTTCAACACACACAGAGAACTGTGTGTGTGAGTCTGTGGGATGCATCCTGAAGCAAAGCTAAACCTGTCATGTTTATGGCTGAGTAGACCAGGAGTGGGTGCAGCTGCTATTTACAAATCTTTGAGCAACTCAAACTACAAATTCAAACTCACGATTTACTGACATCAGATATAAAAACAAATATCTTAAGGGGGCGAGGTGAAGAAAGCTACATTCAGGACAGAGATGAATTGAGAACTCTCAGAAATAAAGGTCAGAGCATTGATCAGCGATCAGGATATTTTGCCGAGTCTTCTAGCGTTTTATTTTGGTAAACCCCTTGTTATCTTTGTCCAATCTCCAGCTGCTGTATCTCATCTGTTTTCAGGTTTGTGTCTTAAATGCTGTTATTGCATCTTATCGACACCGTCAACGATTGCATTTTTTACGCAGAGAGCTGCTACACACTAAAATTCTCACTTCACGATCTGATAACACCTGAGATGATTATGGAGGAAAATCCCATTTAACTTTTTTTTTAAATCTTCTGTTCCATGTCATATTTAATTTAATTTATCTTTCTTCATCCATCTGATGCTCAGTTTGAACTTAAGCAACTTTAGTGCAGTGGTGGAGCTTATGGCTGACTCAGACTTGGTGTAAAAATCACTACAACAATTAAGCCATCAGGAGAAACAGGGTGAGTGTCTGCCAACATTGGCTCTCATGTAGTTAACCTAACAGGATCACTGTAAAAGCTGTAATGACGAGTGAGCTGCCATTATGAAACCAGAGCCTTTCGGTGCAGTAAAACACAAACTGCATCATTGATCTGAAGTGCAACAACCGCACAGCAGCAGATTTAATGGGAGTTTTAAAACAACTTGTTAAATGTGAATAATAATAAATCCTACATATTTTCTAACAGCGCTACTCGAATTTGTCATGCCTGACATGTCATTCAATAGCTTAAAAGCTTTGCACAAGTACAGGGATATTAAACATCTCCTTCTACTCTATCTACTTTGTATTTTTTAAATTTAATACTTTATTTAATACTGTATTTTTTCTAAATTATTTGTATTATTTTGTTTTATATATAAGTACATAAACAAAAAAAATACAAAGCAATCAACCACAAAGGACATGACCAGGTCTTTAAGGTAAAAGTGTTTCAGTTTCTTACCAGTACTGAAGAAGACTTCTGGTACCGCTGCAGCAGCCTTTTCTGCACCATGCTGAGCTGTCTGCCTTTGGCCTTTCTGCGCAGAAGTCTCTGCATTCGAAGCGATGGAAGTGGCTTGGGCCGCAGTCGAATCCGATGGTTGTCAGGCTGCAGCCACTGGTAACAGTGTGGACACACAAGGTTGAGGCACAACATGGTCAAGTTGCTTTGCTTGGTCGATTCTGAAAGGAGACATCAATAAAACAAGGAAATATTTTATTTTTAATTACACCTTCATGTATTTTCACTCAATGTGTGCAGGAAGACTAGAGTCTGCATTCATTATGAACAATTTTATATGACCATTTTTTAGAGAGAGACAGTGAATTTTAATTGGAGACATTATTTTATTTTGGCGAGTTATCAATTTACTGCACATAAATTCAGTCTCTTCCAATCAGTCCCAACACGATCCTCCCAACATCTAAACGTTTCTGCTGAATTACACGGCTTCTTTTTCCACAATCTGTTATGGTGTTATTTGGAGGAAGAAAAAGCACCAGTTGTCTAAATGAATGGCAGCAGCAGCACTTGATGTGGTTTTTCTCTGGCATGTGTCTGTGTGGGTGTCTGTCTTTGTGTACACCATTGTGTTTAATCTTACCAGGCGATCTGGCACAGACGGCTGGCAGACTCAGTATCTTTGGCTGCGGTTTAAGTGAAGCTTTTATCAACCTTACAATGTCCTTCCAGCTACTGTTACACTGTCAGGCATCAGTGATGAAAACATGCAGGCTTTTTGACTTACCTTTCGAATTCACAAGGCCCTGCCTGCAGGGAAGAAAAGAAAGTATTGGATCATTATCAAATACAAGATCAAATATTTTTCTCTTCATTAGATAAAGGTTGTTGTTGGTCTTGGTGTTTGGTTGAAAAAAAAAGAATATGGCGCTAAAACTAAATAATAAAAATACATCCATGCAAATGAAACCTGAATGGGAAATAAATCTGTCTCTTGGACAACCCTTCCCATTATGCACGGTGGAAAACACCATGCCACCGGAAAAGCATTATTTGGATCACTCCCAGACAATGCAGTCCAACCTATTTCAAGATCCTGCTATTCTACATTTGTTATTGATGGCTAAAATTAGCTGGAGGATAAAATTTGTCTGGCAGCACGTGTGGCAGGGTCAGAGCAGAGATGAAGCTGCCAGGTCAGAGCACTGAGGAGGTGGTGGAGGAGGGTGGCGTCGATCTAAAGTGGACCCACTGGCTGGATACTGCTATTCTTGTCACTTTCCCAACCCCTCCATATGTGATTTATTCATCATTGAGAGGATTAAGGTATCAGATTCTATACGTGATGCTGCAGATAAAGCTGGAAATGCTGGGATTTTGGCCGAGGCTGACGTGATACATTGTGACTCTGCAGCGGAATGCCAACGACTCATGGTTGCTGAGCAAACTTACAGGGCAGACAGGAGGACTACTGTCATATTCCCACAAGAAGAACTTGAATCCCGTTAAATATATATTATTTAATGTTTTGAAAAACACTTAGTACTTAATTGCACTATGGGTGCTTTAATTTTTATTTTATCCTTCACTTTAAAAAAAAACTATTCTCACTAATGTCTAGGTTTAAAGACTACTAAATTGAAAAAAAAAAAAACTATTCTCACTAGACACATGTCTAGGTTTAAAGACTACTAAATTGAACTGGCTGTAAACATTTTACTGAGTTTTCTCACTGAGGTTTGGGTTGAGCAACTCACACACACACTTATCACCCACAGAGCTGTGCCACCTATAAAACACTGCCTTCCAGTTCATTGCATATTTATTGAAACCCAACCTCGAGATGCATCAGTGACAATACTCTGTGTCAGTGAGTGCACTAGTGAAAATGCTCATACGCATACACCTTTTGTAAAAAATGGATTTGCAACAAATCTAGTTTACAGCTGTGAGCAGACCACTGATGGCCTGAGTGAGGGGAAGCTGAATTCCTGGAGAGTGTGGTCACCCTGATGGGCCCACTTTCAGTAACCATGAGCCACAAGGACCTCTGCCACTGCACTGGTCCTATTAACATACTTGTCATGCATCTCCTTTTAAGAGCACACTTAGTTGCGGTGATGAACACTGGAAATATCAGTTCCACACATCAGCTACTGACGAGTGGATACAATCTTGGAATGCCCCAGAGAATGCAGAGGAATGAGGGTGGGAGGAAAACATTACGTGCTGGCAGAGAGTGTAATATTGTCATTAGAGAGAGACATTCAGGCCACTGAAAACCCTTTATTGACGTTTCCTGTTATGATGACATTTTACCACAGCAGCCTGGCACGGCCAGTGGAGCACTGAATGTCAGTCAGTCAGTGAACACTCTCTGTACTGAACTCCTCTACAGCACAGAGTGCCGGTGTTTCATTTATCAGCTAGATGTGACAGAGAACGAGTCCAGGAGGTGCCTCCCAGTCTGGACCACACTAGTACAAGTGTAGAGATAGACGGGCTCCTGCTGTGGGGGGCGTAAGACCAGAGATATGGAGGAAGAGGAAGAAGAGGGTTTACACTGCAGTCTGTTAAAGAAACCACAGAGGCAAATCTACTTTAATGTTTATATAAAACAAATCACTACTGCATCATCGCTGGTTCTCCAAAATAAGATTTGTGTGTGTTAATCCACTGTGTTATAGCCTCAAAACAAATTATATTATTATATTCATGATCATTTTCCTTCAGGTCTATTTCACACATTATTTTGAAAATACAACTGGGATGTTTATTTAACAACAATTAAAAATTAAAAAATGGACAGTTCATAAATTTATAAAAAAGAGAGATCTGAATGCTGTTTCTTTATCCTTTGGCTTAAAAACAGCTCAAGTGAATAACCAATTTACACATTGTATTCCTTTTGTAAAAAGCATATCAACTTCCCTGCTATACATCCTGTATTACCTGGTCACGGATTACTGCTAGTATCAGTGGAAAAACACACCAGATTTGTACGAAGACAAACATACTGCAGAACAAACACAGTGGGTTTTTATGGCCTAGATCGCTGCGATGATGTTTGTCCAGCAGACACGCTGCATTCACTGGTTATCAGGACACTCGTCAGGCTCTGGTTACTGGACACACCACAATGAACAGGATCTTACTGGAAGACAGCGTCACTACACTGGCAACATGAGCCACAATAATGCAACGTCACATTACGAGCAGCAACAACGGTATGTGCTTGGACAGAACCCCCCCCCAACTCCACGCAACACATGCACCACGCACACACAGCAACTCAATCTGTGCGTGGATTTAAATAGACCCATAACACAGTTAAGGAATTCAAAATAACCCTCACTCTATATTGAATTCTAAAGGGCAAAACAATAACAACATCAACAACACTGGCTCCTACCATTGTATTTACAGCACACACCAACAGTGGTGTTAATGACAAAAAGTGAAGACAGGGCTAAAAGGTTGTAACAGGATCCCAAACAAATATGAGCCATGAGTCATGACAAGCATCCACGATGCAAACACTCAGTGACGCATGTGCCAAAGCCACAGGTGGAGGAAGAGATGACACTAGAAATCTCAAGGTGTCAGAAAATGCTGCTTCAATTTTAGGACAAAAGGGGGCACTTAAGTAAACACTGATGAAGTATATAATAACTCCATACTAATAAAAAACTGACCTAATATTTTAGGCACTAATCTGAAAGATGAATTTGTTCTCCTTAGCATGCCTTGCATTCCTTACTTCCTACTTCATTAGCTTGACACAGTAGGATATTTTTAGATGTGGCAACTAATTGCCTTTCTACTGGCAAGGCACACTGGCCCGGAACCAAGCAAGTCAGTAGTAACAACATTTAAATCCATGCCTTGCCTTTGGATTAAACAGCTGGTTGAAGTTAAGTGTGGTTAAAATGTTCTGTAACCACATCTCAGTTTAGCAGGATGATCTGTAAAACACATCAGTGCATTAATGGAGCATTGGACTTAAAAAACATCCGTAGAATGACTCCTAAATGGGCCTTTACTAATACGAGCGCTGATGTTATTTCCATACATGGTTTCCCCCACAAATTCCCTGGCTCAAGTAGAAGAGAAAAGATGCTGAGATGAGGGAAGCATAGAGTCCGTAAACACAATTATGCAGTGATGCAAAAAAAAGAATCTGTTAAATGCATCTCACTGTATATTAACAAAACCATAGTATGACCCAGACGATCAAAGAGCATAGATGTTTCTTTAAAAAAAATTAAAGATTACCCATTTAAAAAAAAAAAAAATAATGTAACCAATCCTGTAATAAGGTCACTCTCCTTACTTTGGGAACCGCTACATTAGGTCAACAAGACATTTAGAAAGAAATATTGTCAGCATCACGGGTGGTTGTTTTATAAACACATTTGTTCTTTCCTAGAACAGTAAGACAGCTGTTTACACTGGTCATACTCTTCCACCTAGCGTCCACGTGTCGCCATAACAACAATAAAGGACACGTAGTACGGCACCGTGGACTAGTGAACTAACAGTGGGAATAAGAAAGGCTTCTCTTACATTATGAACCGTGACAACTCCGGGCATTTGTCCTTGTACAGCAGAGCCGCGTTCAACCGAAAGTTGTCCGTCAGTTCTGGAAGATGACGTTTCATTTTTTTAAACGACGTTTACTACTAAGTGTTAACGTTGTCCTTGTTTTTCGGTGGTTTAAAATGAGAGGACGGTGGTTAAAATGTCTTCCGGGAACACTTGACAATTGTCAAAGACCGACAAGCTTTAAAAAATACTTTGTTTTTAATTTAGTTGTTACTGGCGTCATCAAACATAACGGAAACCCACGTTGGGTCGCGAGAATGTGACGTGGCAGCAGATGCATGATGGGAAATACGGTCACTCATCATACATAATACAATAGCTTTAGAAACTATTTTCCTTGTGTATCGCTAGTTTGGAAAAATTTGGAAAAATTAGTAGAAACTAAATAGGAATAATTATATTTTTTTGGAAAATGATATACTTTATGCGCAGCGCACATGATAATGACGTAACCACACAGTCACATTCACCACTAGATGCTGCTAAGTCTTAGATAATATACCTTTAGTCGTCTGTGGTCCTGTAATGTGTATGTGTATTTAATGTATTATTATTAATACATGTGTATTTATTGTATTAACAATAAATAAAGTTTGTTTTGTGGTAACGAGAATACACATCATTCCAAATCAAATATCTAGTAAGAGTAAAAGTTTTGTTATCTAATTTAGCCATAATTTAAAAAATTCTAAGTTAACAATAAGTTAGTCCCAGTTAGTGTGTTCAAGTCCCTAACCTAGGCTGCAGGAGGTACAGGTGGTCTACATTTCAACAGGGCAAACTTCAAATTACCTATAACAGTTCAAGTTACATTTTACACTGCAAGTTACATTTTACAAAATAAAAATCGATTTTATTTTCAGCCCACTCTACCTAGACACTTTGTAACTGTAGAATTTGGCACGGTTTTATGAATTCCTAAATGTCTAACCAAATCCTCCTACTGCATCAAGCAGCAAGGCGAGAAAGCGCACTGATGGGTAGCCTTTGGTGTTCTCGATATCTGTTAAAAGGAGTCACAGCCCCGGTGGTGACCAAACGTGATATGACTAGACACACGTTCCACAGGGATTGGTCTTGGACCAAAAATGGGATTTGATTCATTCTCAGCGACGCAGGGTTAGTTCGGCTCATATCTATGTTCCAGGGATAGTCGTCGGGCGCTTTACGCACACGCGTGTACCAGTATCCTTGGCTTTTACACACAAAAAACAAACAAACAAAAAAAACAACACAATTTGGAAGTTAATGCTTTTCAGTGTAGCGTCACAGATCACTGACGTTCGCCCTCTATACATCATTATATACAGTGGAACTTCGGCACAAAGCAAATGAGGGCAGTGCACTAGGATAAAATACTGTACTACCTTAGGTTTTAATGGCGTGTAGACTGTAGTGACGGTACTATTTCATCCTTTAATAGTGTGCAATTTGTATCTTTTATGGCTTGGATGCAGTGGGCGAATATTGGAACATAGTTTGGTTATTTAAAGGCTTCATTTTGCATGTGTGTGTGCGTGTGTGTGTGTGTGTGTGTGTCGGGGGCAGAGAGTGCTGCTGTCACCAGCCACAGTCAGGAGGTATTAAATCACCGGGCCAGCACAGCGCGCACAGGCACTGATGGAGGAAGCTTAAGTGTGAGGCATCGCTCCTCACTTTGTCCGGGGGTAAATCTTCACTTTATCAGTTCGTGTCAGGCGGCCGCTTCCGCACGCACGGTTGAAATAGCCGAGCGTGAGTGGAGTCTGCGCATAAACGGATTTTCTCTTATACTGCCAGGACTTAATAGACTAGATATTCCAAAGAAGAGTCCGAAAGACAGAGAGAGAGAGCGAGAGAGAGAGAGAGGATGGAGAGAGGGAAGGAGAGAGATAAGGGGGAGGGGGACAGAGAGAGGGAGAGGGAGAGGGAGAGATAGCGAGGAGCAGACAGAAGGACTCACAGGATGCGCAAAGTAGGACCATCCTACACCTGATCCCGCATTTACTGCCTGGAGAAGATGTAATGAGAGGTAAGAGGCTTTATTTTATTTATTTTTTTAACAATTATAAACTATGGCTTTGTCCTAATGATGAAAGTCTGGTAATTTATTTAATTTACCCAAGACACAGAAAAGTAAAATCTGTTCCTGTCACCGCGCTGTTAAAATTATTAATACATATTCAAAGTGTGCCTTGAGGTGTGAGGTCGTTTATATTTGTATTCATCCTACCACAGACAGACTGCAGGTGGTTGGCTTTTACAGCTTATTAATCCACTCTTGTCTGTGTTGTTCAGATTTAGTTTCACCAGAGGAGAATTAAAGCCGTTAGCAGTGATGTGTGTGATGTGTGTGATGTGTGTGGTGATCTGCTGAATCACAGATGATGTTGTACCAGCAGACCTGACACTGTTAATGCACCACTCACTGAGCCTCATCTGTCTCCTCTACGCTGTGTGGACACGGACTTTTCTTTCTCCATTTGATGGACCTCACGGGGGAGGAGAGACACCCCAGAGAGTCCCATCAGCATCTGCAGGGAAAAGCAGCAGCAGCAGCAGCAGTGGCAGCTTCACAAAAGCCAGGCTATCACTTCTGAAATGCAACACCAACTCCAATACTGCTGAGGAAGCTCAGTAGAAAAGGCAAAATGTGCTGCTGAGTGTGTGTGTGTACATTAACTTGTGATCACACCTAACCTGCACGTTGATGCTGCTACGTCACACATCCAGCAGGAAAAGTGCCCAGCTCCACTGTGTACTAGTAATGAGTGTAATTATCTGAATGAATAAATAATTGATAGAGATAAATCTAGTCAATTTTTATGCCACGTGCTGATGACTGGTATTGTTTTCTATCGACCTTTTTGGCAGCAGGTGCTGCAACTTTTCCCAGGATGCAATCCTTCAGCTTGGTGAAGGTTCTTTTCTTTTCTGTTTAATTACTGGTACACCCTTCAGAAACTCCTAGAGCATCCCTGGGCTTCTGAGGCATTCATCACAAAATCACAGTGAGAATGAATAGAGTGAGGCCGGAAAAAATTGTAAGACAAGACCAAGGTCAGAGCATCAATTTCTGTGTGAGTATTGTGTGTATGTGTGAGCAGGTTTTGAAGGTGTCTTTAGTTTTCATGGTCTTGCCTTCGTTCCCTCTTCGTTCTTGAAGGACAGCGGCTGCTGCGTTATCACGTCAGGAGTCTTGCTTCTTCACAGAGCTGCTTAGTGAGATAGAACGTCCATCATCGGACTCCGTGACTACATCCATGGAAATTTGGTTTTCTTTTAACAAAGAATGATGAGTCACAAAATGATATTTGAATGTGCGTACTAACTTGCTACGTCTTTTGTTCCCCTTCAATGAAACACTTCAGAACTTGACAGCGGAGAAAATTTACACCTAAAATGAAGTGGTCCTCGCAGGCGACCTTGTTTCTTTCAGACAATGCCTCGGAGTGAAGTCTTTGATAAACCTCAGTGTTGACGTCAATTTTTAGGCAGCATGAAGAACGGATCTGGGAACAGAGCAGAGTGTGCGTTGTGTGTAGGTGTGCATGTATATGCATATCTCTGGGCTGGATATAGTACGTGCCTTTAGGAGGCGGCGATGCATGTACAGGAGACTTGTTTTTAGATTAAACGTTCCAGACCGAGTTGACAAACGCAGTGTGTTATGTTTAATCCTGACATCCAGAGTCAACACCAACAGGAGCTCATTCTGTAGGCACCAGAGGAAGACACAGTGGCAGGACTGAGGTCGGAGCAAAAGCTTGTTTTCCCCTCGAGAATAATAAGGAGTGCAGTTGCAGGGAATAGTATCAACCACGTCCATTATGTCCTGTTCATGATAAAATGAAAGCAGGCTTGTGGTCCAAGGCCTGCCCTTAAAAGCTTGGGAGAGATGTCATCGCTGTACATAACCTTAATGGTGAAGTCGCCCTCAGTGAACCCTGAGCACAGTAGATTACAACAATTGTGCGTCACTGCCCGAGTTTATCTGAATGATTTGTCCCAGCTCCGAGGGGTGCATTTGTTCAGTTGAGGTCCTTGTTAGTCCTCAGCCAAATGACAAATGGGAAATAAGAATAAAGTCAAAGGCAGTGATTTTTACTGGTGCAGAGAGCTATAGAAAAGCTGCTGCCTGTTTATTATCTTGGCCTCAGGCCATCACTTCTTTGGCCTTCATTAAATGAGTGGGCACGCAGCCCAACGCCCGCCGTAGCTTCCAGACAGGACCACTCTTTTTGGTTGTTTAAGTCAAGTCAGCTAGCTGAATGTTGCAGAGCTAATCAGCAGCCTCAGCGACCTTAGGAATATAGACACACCCAATGTGTGTGCACACAAACTCCAGCAACGGAGTGGACTGGAGCCCTGTGACAAAATATATGGAGCAGATGTGATATTATTATACAAACCACTTAATCATTTGAAATACATGGGTTGCTAGGAGTGTATGGTGGTCCATCTGCCAGGACCCTGCCTCCTACCTGTATTTCTTATTTTTTATTATTTATAAGTGGATAAAGGAGCCAACAGGTGGCAGTAGTAGTAGGGTTAGAGGTAGTGAGTGATTGGAATGGGAGGCATGGGTGAGATTAGTTTGGAAGGAAACATATTGCTATAAGTTTTTTTTTTTAATTTCTGAATTATATTTTAAATGTCAGAGGTGGACAGCCCTGCATTCATTCATTTATTCACGTAAGCAAATTTTGCGCGTGTCGAGCACCTCCTCTGGAGGCAGGATGAGCAACTACATGCGTGATGGTAAACATTCCTGCATCTTATAGAGTACATCTGCACGTCTGCTGAAACTCCGAGGAGCCGAGCCACAGATACGGCAGACACAATGCACCATTCTTAACCATCTATTGTGAGAAGATGTGAAAGGGGAGAGAATCTTTTCAAATGATGAGACTCGGTAACAAGAAGTATGCAGCGCATTCATTACCCACGGTGTGATCATTGTCTTGATTATGAAGAATAACTGCAACTTATTACTCAACATAAAAGCTCCAATTACAAGTGCCATTAATTGTTCACTGCAGCTGCCGCATTTTATTTTCAGCTCGGTCAGAACCCATTGTCACTGCTGTAATGAACGACAATTCACACAAACAATTAAATGGGCTCTTTCTCACCGCGGCCAAGTTGCCTTGAGCAGCTTCCAGTCGTACACTGTCCATTATTAGACACTGTTTTTGCCAAATGTTCAAATGGAAGGCGGCCATGCACTGCGACTTCAATTACAAAAGAGGTCAATGTCTTTTATTGCATCATTCACTTACTA